CGCGCAGCGCGGAACAAGTACTCGTTCTAATTACGCGCGGCGCCCTCATTAACTATAGTAATATAGTAAATTTACAACTTGTAATTATCTCTCATCCCCGACGACGACGACGACGACGTAGTCCGTGCGCCGCGACGCAGTTTCCCGTGTGCCCAATCAGCGAAGGCGGTATATATCCGTATCGTTATCGCTGCTCGTCCATTCAGAATTTACGAACGGGCCCTTGTAGCGGTGTTGATAGTTACGAGGCCGGTCTCAATTAGTGGAACTTACGTCGCTAGGGTCCAATTAGACGTAGGCCAGCGCAGCTACACCCTGTTTGCCCAAGTTTGCCGTGCACCGTCCTCGCTGTCGTCGTCTTCGTTGGCGTCGTCGTCGGCGGCGACGGCGGCAGCTGATGGGGTTGCCCGCCGTCCCACAGCTGCAACGCCGGTTGAAGGTGTCTTTTTCCTACGCTAATGACTAATTAGCAGTCTCTCCACTTCGTAGTATAATGACACGAGATCCAGCTCGGAGCCGTCGGGCTGGGATCATTATTAAGCCCCGAAATTGCAGTCGCGCTGGCTACCCTCTTTCTCTCTCACTTTCTCTTCTGGCCTCACAGTAGCGGATTTTGCAATCCTATAGTATTAATAAACGGATTTCTCTTCATCTGTCTATTCGCGCCACGACGAGGTGCCATATTTTATCGAGCGTCTTTGATACGAGTGTGCCGGGTTCGCGGGAGGAATGCTTTCGATTGAATCGTCGGGACGACCAATGCAGTCGCTCGCAGTTTGGGTCAGCTGGGTGCGTCTCGCTGACCTCTAACCGTAATATTATATCGAATCTCCCGCCCCTCCTTCTCCTCTTCCTCCTGCTCCGCGAGACGACTTCACTCCCGTCACCACCCCCTTCTTCCGCTCGTCTATCCGTCCACGTATTTGTCCATCCCGCTCTCTCTCTCTCTCTCTCTCTCTCTCGGTGTCCTTCCTCTCCTCCACCGGACTTTCTTTTACATTTATTTATTTCCTAAACGTCCGTCCCCACCGGCTACTTTATATTTGACATTTTTATTAAACCACCTAGCGACTCCCCTGTCCGTTCCAACGGGATCGCCGGGATACGAAGGGAGACGCGTGGGAGACACGCGCGCGAGCAGCGGGGCCGCGGGGGGGTGGGTCTCTTCCATATTGCTGTTAGGGCAATTTCGTAATCTCGGAAGGGTGCTCCTTATATTGACCGAATAAAAAGTCGTGTCCGTTGCTGATTCGACGATCGAATATCGTCATTTCTCTCCGGGGCTCGACGGTATTCGGAGGCTGACCGTTCGTCGCGTTAAGCCGCGCCGCTCCCGGTAAAGCCGTAACGCTCGGAATCAGTTTGCCATTTTACGATTATGTTATCTCGTAGACGAGAACTGTCGCGCACCGCTCGCGAGAGTGATTTTATCAGCGGAAGATCGAATTTTCTCAAGGCTCCTGCGCCGGGAAATGAAACGCTGCCCACTAATTCCGAGCATCGGTATTCGACGGACGCGACGAAGTTAAATATCGATAATACTCCGCCGCGACGGTGTGCAATATTTTGAAGATCTTTATCAGTGTCTTATATCGCGAACGGCGCATGTAGTGTCTTTTTCTTCGGCATGATGTAAGTTTACGTTGAGAAAATCACTCCTCGTGCGTCTAGACCTCCGAAAATTCTCGAGAAGATACGGAGAGATATCGTCGCAGTAAAGAGTCTAATTTCCATAAGCCGGTCAGTAGCAGTAAAAGACGTCGTAAATCGCGACAGAGCGGAATTCGCCCTTTGCAATTTTGTTTTATAAGCGATCGAAGTATCGATGTTGTCCGCGCTGACGACATCAGCCGAGCCATGAGATAATACAATATTCGTAGTGTCCTTGTGCAGAGCGACCGATCACTCGAAGTGACAAACAAGTCGCAATATCCCGACAGGATTTAACATTCGCGGGAAAAATTTAGTCGCTTTTCTTCGTACTTTCCCCTCTCTCTCTCTCTCTCTCCCTCTCTCTTTTCCGAGACCTTCGCATAAACTGTTACATTTCACTTCGTGGTGATTCCGATCTGAGGAATTTTCTCGGCTGCTTTATTTGACATCACCTTCGCAACAAGCTCTCGCGAGAATGAAGAGAAAAAAGTGTTTTCTTTTTTTCCCCCGGACCTCTTTTGTACATTTTACGTAGTATCGCGCGCGCGCTATTGTCCGCTCCCAAGCGAGGAAGATAAACTTACGATCGCTTTGGGCAAGTAATTTCAATCGGTACAGTATGTGCGAATTTTCACAGCAGCTAGATTTTTGCACGTTCGAAATTTTTCACTGGCGCCGAGTGATTAATTTCCCCCGAATTTTTTATTTGATATTTGGATACCTGTACATTGAACTTTTAATTTGCTCGCGAGCGCCGGCAATTTTGATATTCACTATTTGCCAATGAAACGGACAAAGTAACATCCAATTTTTTTTCCACCGTATCTCTGCAACCATCGCGATCAAACATGATACATATGCGCAACTATACTGTTGCGGAACGCAATGTAAAACGGAGAATGATCACGAGCTACCCCCCCCCCCCCCCNCCCCCCCCCTCTCTCTCTCTCTCGTTCGCTTTCTCTACGCGCTGGCTGCGAGTTCATCCACGACGAACTCGTTTATCGGGTCGGGTTCATTCCGGACGATCGAACAGTTATTGATCGCACAATTAGCATTACCGGGCTTTTCCACGGGTCGGGAAAAGAGCTTAAAAACCGTCATCGTTAGCCGCGTCTTTCCACGGTGTATGGCACGGTGCGCGCTTTTATTATTTCTCCTCTCTTTTTTTTTTTTTCGTTCCACCGCGATATCAATCGGACCAAGAGAGAATCATTAAAAAAAACTAGATCCAGGGTAAAACGGAGCGTACGGATCGTTTGACGAATCACGAGGCGGCTCTTGGATATATGTGAACGTGGGCGGCAGACGCGCGCCGCGGGGCGGGAGGGTGGCACGAGAAAGGGCCGGGGGAATGATGTTTTTTTCCTCGGCGGCGCCTCTTTAATTTGCCCTCCAATTAACGGACGGGGTCCTATTTGAAAAATACCTGCCACGAGGGCTGGCAATTATACTTCCTCCTTTTTTTTGCGTCACGAGCGCGTTATTAGCGCTATCCGTCCAACCCCGCTTCTACCCCCGTCTCCCTCGCGCCCCTTTTTCTCTTTCTCTCCTGCCTCGCGCCTTCGTCTCTCGTTTGCTCTTTCCTACCATCCGCCACCTCCCGCACCACCACCACTGCCATCACCACTATCACCAACACCACTACCACCACTACCTCGCTCACCCATCTCTCTCTCTCTCTCTCTCTCTCTCTCTCTCTCTCTCTCTCTCTCTCTCTCTCTCTCTCNTCTCTCTCTCTCTCTCTCTCTCTCTCTTTCTCACCCTTTCATCCATTTTGTCTTAGTGTGCATGTGCGCTAGTGCGCGAGGGTGGTTTGCGTGGGCGAGCGTATCCGCGCGATTGTATGCGTTTCACGTGTATTACGAAGCACGCGGGTGAAGTGATGCGGCGGTCGGTGGGAAAGAGGAAGAGGGCGAAGAGCGGGGAGGAAAGGTAGGAGGGAAAGGTTCGAGCGAGATACCTAGATAGAGAGATAGAGAAAGAGAGGTGAGACAGAGAGAAAAGGGGTAGGTAGCGGGTGGTAGCGAGAGAGAAAATTGGAACCGGGAGTGCAAGGGGCGACGAGAGGGGGGGGGGAGGGTAACGGTGGCTGCAGGCCGGGCCAGGGAGGGAGGGAAGGAGTAGCGTTTATAACTCGTGCCCGGGTCTCTCCCGGCTTTGAGAAGGCCAATTAGCAGCATAAAGCTGCAGCTCGGCCCCGAGGCCGAGGATGTTTGTATGTAATAATGGATTGTTACTCAAAGTATCCGGCTAATTAATTAAGCCCCCGCCGCACGTCCGCCCGCTCGTCGTCGTCGTTTCGAACGGTGCGGCGACGGCCCACTTCGCTCTCACCCCTTCTGCTATCGTTGCCACCACCTTCACCACCACCCCGACGCCACTTTAACCCGCGAAGTATTACGCGGGGTGGCATCGGAGGAACGTAACCGCGTTCTCGCGATCGCGAACATCGTTTTCACCCGTGACCCTCGCACCAGCTCGACGACGGCTTCGGTCGGACGGGATTGCACTTTTCGCTCGTTCCTCCGATCAATCACGCAATAGCGGCACGCTTGGCGAAATTCCGTGATTCTTACGGCTGAAAAGTGATGAACTCGAAATAATCCGGGTCCGTGATCTCCGAGAGGCCCGAGAATCGCTCGTCGTTCGTTCGTTACGCCCGACGGATGCGCCTGTCGCATCGCGGTTAAAAGACCCCGTTTCGGATGTCGGTAGGTAGGAAAAAAAGGAAAAGAGAAAGAAACGTTACGCAGGCACTCGGGAAAGATCTCAACGGCACCCGTGGCGCAGTGCGTCGGGAGCGATGCTTATTGGAGTCTGGGCGCACGAAGATGCGCCCAGGAACGGTTCCAATTAGCCGCGCTAATTATTGCGTGCTGTCAGCCACTTACGACGCCGGAGACGCTTATAACTGCGGGATACGCGTGCATGGCACGCTAGCCGTCCGCGAAGTTGCCCCCTTATGTATAAACAGCGGTGCGGATATGTGTGCCGGATCCCCGACCGAGTACGATAAAGTTCTCATTAATTCGGGAAATCAAATTTCGGCCGCCGAAATGACCCGGGCTCGTATAATTCTCCCATCGCTCGCGCGTACAACCGGAACTATCGACTCGGGCCGGAAAATTTTATATCGCCCCGTAGCCGACGGATTATTGCGCCGTACCGAGCGGCGAAAAACGTTGGCGCGTTTATTTTAGATCGCGCGCGCGTTTCAGCGGAATCGCGCAAAGAGAAGAAATTATGAAATAATCTCGCGCTCGTTGTTTCGAAGTATTTCCCTAAACGCCGACACCGCACGGGAACACCGTTGTGACTGTTCGACTTGTCCTTTAATGTTCCAGACGGCGCCGTAGCCAAGATCACGATGACTATGGACGTGAGCAAATCCGAGACGAATAAAAATGGCTCGACGCAGCAGGAGTGCGCCGGCTGCGGCAAGACAATTACAGAGAGGTAAGCGCGTCGGCGTTTTCTCTACGGTTTGCGTCTCCTTAAAAAGAGGGGGGAGGGAGGGAGGAAGAAAAAGAAAAGGAAATTATCCCTGTCGTTTATCTCGTCGTACTTCATACCCCGCTAATAACTCTCTCGCGATGTTCGATGCTTCGTTAGAATTTCGAAAGAGCCGGCTCGCGACGCGAACGTCGATCTTTGATCTTTGCTTCCGCTGTAGTTTTCATCCCTTCTCCCCCCCCCCCTTAAGTCGAAGAATCAGGGGCGAATCGTTTTATCGAGAAATATATATATTAGATATCGAGATAAAAGAGAAACTTATATATTAAATATCGAGATAAAAGAGAAACTTCCGAGGTTTAACGGCCGGTAAGAAGGAAAACTGCGGTCGGTTCTTCAGGTACCTCCTCAAGGCCTTGGACCTCTACTGGCACGAGGACTGCCTCAAGTGCGGATGCTGCGACTGTAGGTTAGGAGAGGTCGGCTCTACCCTCTACACCAAAGCTAACCTTATCCTCTGTAAGAGGGACTACCTCAGGCTCTTCGGCAACACGGGATGCTGCGCGGCATGTAACAAACAAATACCGGCGTTCGAGATGGTCATGAGGGCCAGGACGAATGTCTATCATCTCGACTGCTTCGCCTGTCAACAGTGCACTCATCGGTGAGTACGATGAAACGACGGAATTGCTTTCATTATTGGACTCGTTTTTTTCTTTCCTTTCAAGTGAACTTCTCACTAATTTCCTCCTAGCGTGAGACACGTCACTCTTATTGCAAATACAAAAACTTACAAGGCGCATTTGAAGAAAGAACAGGTCTCTCATTTTAAGATCATGCGAAATGCAATACGGATTTCTCAGAAATTCGCGATTTTTGCCAAATTGAACGATAGGACACGATTTAAAAATAAATCATTATTTGTTCGGGGGTGGCCAATTATCAAACCGTGCGACGTAATAACGCAAAGATAGCGATCATGCAAAATTCAAATCGGTAAATTTATGTTGTTCGCTTTCCTTTTTTTCTTTATTTCTTTCTTTCTCTCTTCCTCTTTCTCTCTCTCTCTCTCTCTCTCTCTCTTCTTCTCTCTCTTTCTTCTTGCTTCTTCCCCGTGCTGCTCACGGTTTTCGCGAACGATGCATCTTCCCCGTGTGGACACAAGGAGAGAGCGAGGCAACGGGAAAGCGACTACTGGTGCCGTGAGGCAGAGCCCACTAGGGGGGGAGGTTGCTTTACAGGTCAGCTGGGAAATCACCCTGCACTTTCCTCGCCGTGACCTCTTCTTTCGCTCTCGCGCTGCCATTCTCGGAGTCGGCAGCGCGGTCGGATCAACTTCTTCATCGTGAAACCCCGCGGCACGTCCTCGCGTACATTCACGGCTTCGGTTCTCCATCCGACCGAATGCGCGATGCCTCCTCATCGATTTATCCTCCGTCTATCTTTCTCTCTTTCTCTCTCTCTCTCTCTCTCTCTCTCTTTCTCCTTACCCCTATTATCGTATATTCTTCTCGGCTTCTAAAAGTCAGATTTGAGAACTGTAATCTTGACTGTCGCGGTCAACGAGTTACGTACCGAAGAGAGTTACGTACTCTGGAATGACCGGGCGAAGAATTCCAATTTCAAAGTAGTCTTCGGATTTCATCTTATCTATTTTTTTTATATATAAGTTACTCTTATATATGTGTGTGTATCGCAATATAAGTTTATAAGTTTCCTAAGTTTCTCAAGACGATGTCCTTAGAGGACTTGCCACAGACTGAGGATGAACGCCTTTCTCTCTTTCTCTCTCTCTCTCTTATCCTGTATCTCATCTTCGTTCGATCCATGCCGTCTTTCAGGACCAGTTACGTAATATCCGAGTATCGCTGACATTTTCGCGCTCGATCGAGATTATCGCGGCCGGAACACCGCTGATATTCCTCTCTCTCTCTCTCTCTCTCTCGACTTTCAATATATCATGGGTTTTATACTTCGCGCGGTCCGCGCTGCATCGCACTTCACGGGGCTGCTATCGACGCGGGATCAACCTTCGCGGCGGTCTCGACATCGATCGTAGTGGCGCGTTATCATCCGTTATTCTTTTCTTCGGTCGTTTTAATTATCCTACGGGCCGCGGTATACGGTATACGTGTAAACAATATGTGGTAACGACGCGGCACAGGCTCCTGTCGCGATTCAATGGCGGAAAACCGTACAAACGAGAGCACAAAGCCAGCGAAGCGGTACAATGCTGGCTTACGGACGAAGTGACTCGTTTTTTCGGAGGGGGGAGGGAGAGAGGGAGTAACAACGTCCAGGAGAGAGAGCAGATAGCAGAGAGAGGGATTCGGTTGCTCTATCGACGGAGAATGGTGGGCGGGCGCGGGGAGAGAGGGTGGTATAATGGCGGCCGCGAGGGGTTATGATAGAGGAGCCCGGAGGTGGAGGATGTAGTTCCAAGCCAATAGCAATGGCTCGTCCAGGCGTGCGGCAAACGTTGCACAGCGTCTCAAACAATGTGAACAAAAGAGCATCAATTTTACGTTTTTATCGTCCGGCATTGTCTATCTTCGACAATGCCTCTGCCCGTTCGCTCGCTCGCGCCACTCGTGTAGCGAGAGCATCCCGCGAGGGGTGCGCGGACGGTTAGCTACGGTCGCGTCGCGCGCGTCAGCATCAAAACCGAAGCTGCTGGGCAGAGAGGAACGAGTCGCGGAAAGGGATTCGCGAAGACACGCGCGAAGGGCTTTGTCGAGGGCCCAACCAAGCGCGCACGGCTCGAGGTCTGCGAGCGAATCGAGAATGAGTAAATTGGGACAGCTGCATTATTCAGCCGTTATATTTGTTGTAACAATCGCGTTGCGTGTCAGGGACGATATACGGGCGCAATTAAAGCTCGCGAGCGTGAGCGCGATGAAATATGCCTGATGCGGAATATATTCGGTACGACCCCTCGCGCGCGATCGCGCGCTAAAAAGCAGGTAGGTAAATTTGAAGAGGCCAATTACTCGCAGCGCGCTGCGCGCGTCCTGTAACGAGACGACTTAGAGTTTGCAATTAAACAGCAACAATTACACGGGGTAACTTTAGACTGTAATAACACAGAATAAAGGGTTGCCAGTGGCGGCGACTAGGCTCCCACCCTCCTGGTTAGAGGATGATTTACCGATGCAATTAGCTCTCTCTCTCTCTCTCTCCCTCCCTCTCGCTCGTGTTCTCTCTTTTGCTCGTCTCCCCTCCTCTTTCTCTCTTTCTCTCGCACCCCCGATGTACATGAACACACACGTTGCAGTGTGCGCGCAAGCGCCGCAGCGCGTATCTGCTTCTCCCCTCCGATTTCTTTGCTTCCGTCGAATCCGGTCAAACATAATGACTACTCGATTAAACTTTCGCCCCTGCGACTTGGATTCGATATCCCGTCGGAGCGGAGGCTCTCTCCCGGCGAAATTGCGAGCGACGTGAAATTTCTCATTCGCGGGCGATCGCCGGACGCGAGATCGTATTACGAAAACGTGATTTTCATCGTATTACGCGATATTACGCGTTGCGTACGCCCCGCCTTTTTCTTCCCTTTCTCTCTTTCCTCTTATTACCTCGCTAGGAATACATCGTGTTCATTCGCGTGTGCGTCCGCTCTCGAACGTGTGTGCCGACGTATCACTCGGCAATTCCGCAATTTCCGCGATTCACACACCGCGGTGCGTCGCGAATAAAGATTTTATCCGAGAAAACTGGCGTATACAAATACACGTACACACGGGACAGATGCCACGCATACACACAGCGTCCGTGTTTCGGGTCCGAGACGCGCGCACGAGAAGATCGCTGAAACTTTGATGCGCCGAAGCTCGCGCAGAGACGGTATTACTCTTTGAGGACTATGGCCACGTCGACGTAGCGGCCCGTAAAGTGCCTCTAACGGGGTCACGCATTGCCACCGGTGGTATCATTTATTGAATCGCAGCGGCTACTTTCCGCCTTTGCACCTCGTCGTCGTCGTCGTGCCGATCGAACGTCGTCGTCGTTTACGCTCGCCATCCGCTTCTCCTCGCGTGTCCGTCCTCTTCCCGTCTCTCCCCCTCGCTGCCCCCATTGTCCTGCGGCTCTCCTCCGGCTGCTAGCGAGAAGCCAGGGCTACCCTCGTTAAAGATTCAACCGAGTTATCTGAGCGCCACCCAGATTGAAATTTTCCATGCAGACCGTAGTAGAGTCGTTCTCTCGAGCGACTTCATCCAGCCTCCCGCTTCCCTCGCCAGCACCAGCCATCTTCCGCGTCGATGGTTCACTAACCCCGGTCAGTCGATGTTTCTCAGCCGTCCCCGGCGCCTCCACCGCGAGGGGGGACGGTGATCGATTTAAGGTCACCGCAATCGAAGCGACCGTGACGCGCGAGTCCCTCTCCCGGCGGTATCTCGCGTCCGAATAATTCCCATCGGAAATCTTATCACGCCGAAATTTCAGCGGCAGAGCAGTCTCTAATGAACGAGGTGGATGAACTTGCGGTCAGACGCGGGTTTCATCTCAGCGGAGAGGGGCACGCGGCTACGACGGGGGGCAGCTCCCGCTCGCGGTCTCACCCTCGCGTTCGAGCGGAGCGAAGAAATTGCAACGCGTCGCGGGCTCCCGGGTGCCGTGAAACGTGTCAAAACGGCCGTAAACAACGTGATGTATCCCGCGCGATGTCGGGAGTGTGCGTGCGCGTACGGGCGGGCGAGCGGGGTGGCTCTCTCTGGCAGGCACGTAATAAAAAGAAAATTGAATGGAAACACTTACGGAATTGCGCCAATTACGTAGAGGTGGGCGTGCTAGGTGCGCTCGCGCTGTAATAAAGCGTTCGCACGGCAGCGGCGGCGGCGAATTTGCTCTCATTGCGATGAACGCAGAACGAGAGATAAATCAAATTTTAAACGTTTATGACTCCGTGCGCGCGTTCGCGAGGGGGCGGGTGTTACGCGACGGGCTGCGTAACGGTGAAAATTAATACTTGGGTGGGAAGGACTTCCGACCGACGTGATCTTAATATTTCGCTCGTGACGGTGGATAAAGTACGTCATCGCGTGATTCTCAAAACTCGCTGTTTTAACATAATTTCTCGTTTGCTTCCTCTTTCTCCCTCTCCTTCTCTCTCTATATACGTATGTATATACTAAAAATTATTAATATGTCCTAAAACCAACGTAGCTTTAGTCTTGGTCCGCGCACACAATCACCGACGTTCATTGGAAGAACAATCGATCATGATTGGTCAGTTTGTTTACTGTTTACGTCTTAAGGCAAGGCTGTGGACGAAGGTTTGAACATGACATGTTCCTCGGGACATTCCAAGACGAGAGTTCAAGCGCGAAAATGTCGAGGCGTCAACAGTTTCTGAGGTACAAGCGCGATCGAAAAAGCGAGGCTTTTCGCAAGCTAAACTTCGAACGATCGAATGGGTAACAAAATTATTTTCTTCCACCGAGTTCAAGTGGACTTGATTTTTACAAAAGTTTACTACAGACCTGAATTACTAAAATGTTTACATATATTGAAAAGTAAGCGTCGCCATGAATAAGGACCTCCCTCGGCATTTTCCCACTTGAACTTCCGCCTCAGGATCCGTCCCAGAATCTGTCATGTCGAGGGCATACGTTGATTCCGGGGCAGTTTGTATAAATGAATCATCGCAACGAGATGTATGCGATGGCCGGTCGCAGTCGGTGCCCACCCCCCGGCGTCACGTGGATTCAGTTTCAATACTTGACCAAGGCTATCCGTCCGGCTAACCGCGGTTCGATCAACCCGGATAGAATATTCGTGCGTCCGACGTTCCTTGGACGGCGATTTTGAGAGGCGGGCCGCGCGCGACGACGTATCGCTCGGCCGTGTAAAAAAATGCCGGCTCCAGGTGGAAAATTATGGGGTAACGCTCGGTCTCGCGCGCGCGCGCACCTCGATATCGTTCCATGGCAGACCGTATTTGCGCCGTTTTCGCGAGAAAGGATCGGGCTTTGCGCGGCATTATTCGCGCGCGCATAATGGAAAGTCCGGAATGACTGCGCTCGTGCAACGCGATAATTCTATTGCCCGCGCAATTACGACAGTATCTGCCTCTAGCCAGACGGCCGAAAAAGGTATCCAAAGCGTTACAAGGATTATTTTCGTTTAAGCCGTCCACCACTGCCGTCCGCGAGCCCCCGCCGGATATTAATTTTTTTTCACGCCTGCCCCCACCCCCCGGCCCCCCGCTCGAGCCGCCCCGAGGATTAATGGGAAATGACTAATGGCGAAATACAAATACACCTCCGTCGATTGTATCGCCCGCTCGCATACGCTCGCGGGCACGGCAAAAAGGCCTGTAAAAGTATCAATTATACGCTAACGACGGTCATTATATTTTAATTAATGCGTTCGATTTGCGCGCGCGTTGCACAATTTCTTCCCTTCACTGTGCGCGCGCACTTTGCTGCTTATTATTACAACCGTATTTGCTCGCTGAAATCACGAAGAACACCAGGCGGATGGATGCTGATCCACGACGGTGCATCGGGTGAATTTGAGGGAAACCCCCTCCCCCCCAAAAAATACAACCGTATCTTACTCGCACGTATCGATCACGGCGCTAATTTGCGCGAGGCAATTAACATTGTGCGCGTGCGAATGAAAAATCTAGCGGAACAATTGTCGGGCACATCGAGCGGCAAGGCCGCCGCCGCCGAGGTCGTGGGTGCTGGAGGGAAGGCCGAACGGTGAGGAGGTGGAGCAGGGGAGGAGGGGGATAGGTATCCGATTGGAGTGTGGCGTCATTTAGCAGACGACGCGTATAATAGGGGAAACGAGCGAAACCCGGTATAAGCCGCGCGCTTGCTGCCAGCACGGCCACGCGCGCAGCAACGCGATAATTCTATTTGCCGTGCGATTATGAGAGTATCTACCCCGAGCCAGACCCGACCCGGCGCGCCGCGCCGCGCTCTCGTATTTCGCTCTCGTATTTCCTAGTCCGGGATCAAAGCGGATATGAGAGGCCGCATGCGGACAGAGGACCCCGATAATAATTATTTGTTCGATGCGTTACGATATGCTCGTTATCCAGCGGAACTCCTTTTTCGAACTCTCTCCTACCGCCGAATCCCTCCGCTTTCTTTTCCGCCCTCGGCGTTCGATCGAATTTTTCGGGGGCGGCCGAGTGGCCCTCGACGAGGCGGGGTGAACCTTATCCGCTAATCGTGTTTTCTTTGAATCTTCCCGAGTCTCTTTCACGTGCGACGAGCCAAATAAATTTTATTGTAGGAGAACCGCCGACAAACGTCCCCGGGAATCGCGACGAATGAAATTTCTTTATTAACGCTGGAACTTCCGAAACAGTCGGAATGACCAATTTCTTATTTTTTCTTATAAAAATTACTTCAATTCCCAATGGTGCATTCTCTCTGAGATTTCCCGTGATTTTTACGTCGCAATACGTGAACGAATAAATACTTCTTTTCCTTTGCATTACGTATTTTTTAAGAAATCTTATTTAAACTGTTTCGGAAGAAAGGTGCGCGTTAATTGTTGGTAGTTTTAGTATTAATTATTGCAACGTCGAGAGGAATGGCCCCCCCTCCCCTGATTTTCTTTCGAGGAACCTTTTCAATTAGTGTGTCGAAATGATCGGTCACAGAGATTTATCAATAAGCGTCAGGGAAGGAGAGGGAATAACTTGTCGAATTCGGATTGTCGCATATTCAATGCACTCTCGATGTCCGACACACAGGGTACTCTTTCTGCTTGCAGGTTTTGCGTGGGCGATCGGTTTTACTTGTGCGAGAATAAGATTCTCTGCGAGTACGACTACGAGGAGAGGCTAGCCTTCGCTAATATGGCGTTACAGACGCCCGCCTCATTAGCATACATTAAAAGGCAACTTCCTCCTACACCGACGCCTCCGGGCCAGAACATGCACCCGGGACACAATCCGCTGCAGGCTCATCAAGGTCTGGGGCAGTCGGTGGCTCAACACAATCACGTGCCCAACGTAAGTGCTAACGAATCACGATCCGCGGATCTGCTTGACAAAGCGAACACGGAAACAAACCTGCAGAGTGTTTAGAATTTTTTTGAAAAGTTATATCTGAATATGCGTCCAAAATTAAATTTAAAGGTTTTATGTGTCTTGTGATTTTTTTGTTCTCCAAAATTAAAACTTTTCTCTTCGTTGATTTTCATTATAAGGTCAATATTTTTAAAAGTCCTCTTAGGGAATAATTAGATAAACAATTTTTTACATATAAATTATTTGAAAAATATTAACTTTTTACTCGCTTCATTTAAAGCTGACACTATCACCTTACTTTTTCAAGAATGGAGCTCACTTTTTTCATTATTTTCGATAATCGCGTGTAACGTCTGATTTTGTCAGGTTTCTTCGTTACGTAATTCACAGTTCGCGAGGAAAAAGATTCGCGAGTTCTCGTCGTGTGCGACGTGGGGTGCGTCGTCTCACGTCTTGCGAATCTTTTATGACTTCAGGGTCAAATGTCGGGCGGCGCGCCGACGGTGAACGGGACGGCTATAGGGGTCGGCGGGCCGAGAGCGCCGGGTGACATGAACAACAACGGTCTGTCTGGGCCCGCTCTCGGGCCCGTAAAGCCGCCCCCGATGTCGATGCAGGCGCCGACCAGCTGAAACGAGGCTTCGCCGCCTCTGAAGAAGCTCAGGTGTCTCAGCGGTTACTAAGACCGACGGGGAGTTCTCCTCGCTCTCTGTGGAGATAATTGAATATTTCAAGCAGCGGGGAGGAGGGAAGGACGAAGGAGCGGGACGAGAGAAGTATACGTTGCACCGCTGAGAACGCCGAAATGGACAGAAGGGGTCGTTGAGGGGTCAAATAGTGACGGACCGGGGGTGGGAGGCGGGAGGATGGGGCGCGGAATGCGCGCGTGAAGGATCAGACGCGAAACGGAGTCCGAATTCGGGTGCTTCGGTGGACGAAGTGACGTTCGAAAGTCGGAGATTGGAATCACTGTGATCGTGGAAAATGAACAAATTTCATGGCGGATATGTTAATACAGTAGGACACGCGCGAGGTGCAGGCTAGAGATCGCTCGGTACACCGTATTTACGAACAGACACCCACGCACACATATACACGCGTACACCGCACACATCGCACCCGGACACGCAGACGTCCAAGCGACGTCGTGAGATTCCCCTCAAACATCGTTTGGCCGTTTGCGTATACCGTTCGGGGGCTGATGCACACATCTGCATCTTGTAAGATACGACGACACGAGACACACACACACACACACACGTAAGGATAAATTAGATGATTTATGTAAGATATATTTCTAGCGAGGGAGAGACACACGAAACACGGGAATGAATGTGGCTCTCAGCGAGTGCGTGCGTGCATGTGTGAGTGGCGGAGTCACCTGTAAATAAATCTATGTCGTATTCGACTCCGCGCGTGTGAGAAAGAGAGAGAGAGAGAGAGAAAGAGGACAAGAGGAAAAGGGAAGACGAAACAATTACCAGTATACGCAGGCCCACCAAAATGACTCTTTTATCCCGCTCGTGATACCGCCGTCGTCCATCCGTAAGGATGTGGAGCGCCAATTCGGAGAAGAAAAACTGTGAGAGAAAGAAAGAAAGGAAAGGAGAGAGGGAAAAAGGAAGACGAACTTTCGGCGAGAGCGAAGAGGACACGAGGGGTTCTGTAACACGTGCCATAATCCTGCGATCTCTCGTTGCTCAGCCGGCCGAAGGAACGCTGCTAGGAAGAGGGAAAGGGAAAAGTAAGACGATAATTATTTTGTATTTCGCGCGATCGCTGGGCGAATCGGTCAGCGCGGGTCTTCGATTATCTTCCAGTGCTCTCGCGCGCGCGTCTCTCTCAAATTCATACGCCGCTAAAGTAATTTTTCCCTCATCGCGCGTAGCATTTGGAAACGGACTTGTGGCGACTTCGGTCGACATTAATTTTCGTGTCCCTCTAGTCTCGTGAAATTTTTCCGTTATGTCGCGCGGTCGTTGGTTCTCGCGTCGGCGTGCTCGGACATGCCGTCGCGAGACAGTCGATACCAAAGAGATAATTAAAGACATTAGGTTAAGAACCCCTCGGAGCGAGCGCCGCAGAGAGAGAGAGAGAGAGAGAGAGAGAATTTTGGACAGCCCGACGCGCGTCACGGCAAATTATTTTTCACAGGCATCCACTCCGGCGAGTGCTCGCGAGGAGCAACGGCGGATTATCGTATGGGTCCCTCTCCCCCCAATCGGCCCGGAATCGCTCTCGTTGGACAAGCGCGAATCGGAAGAGCAGATTTCATCTTTCAACGTTCTACCGAATCCGCCGAGAAACTGGCGATAATTCTCGCGAGTTTCTCGCGAGTTCGAGATGCGTTCGAGATGCAGTCGTGGACGGTCCCGCGGGTCTCGAAATAACTCTCGATCGAACTGGGAATCCTCGAGTACGTTAATCCGCCGGCGATGATGAAGTCGCGAGCCGGGATGGCCGTCGGAGCGACGAAGGGGCTTAGTCACTTAGCTTTAACGCTTCAATGCCAAAAATACGGGCGGCGCTTATCTATACCAAACGCCAAACGGCACACACACACACACACACACACACACACACACACACACACACACANCACACACACACACACACACACACACACACACACACACACACACACACACACACACACACACACACACACACACACACACACACACACACACACACACACACACACACACACACACACACACACACACACACACACACACACACACACACACACACACACACACACACACACACACACACACACACACACACCTTTCATAACGAACCTTCGTGCGAAGCAGGAGGGAAGGGAACCAACGAGAACGCTCTTGCGCGCCGTTCGCGTTCGTCACCGCGCGCAAACACTATTAACCGCGAGCTCTCGCGAGTTAACGCTACTTACCGTGAGTAATTTCCCGCGACGCCGGAAGGTACCGGTCTCTATTTCATTCTCGCCCCCCTCCCCCCCCCATGTATCCGGGTTTTCTCTCGTTCGCGACCGACGGTTCCCGTCGGTTGCACCGACGACGACGTCGTCGTCGCTTCGTGTACAATGCACCGTTGTTTAAGCAGCCGCGTAGAATCTCTCTGACGCCGAAAGGTGGACACAATTTCTTATTATCCCCAGCAGATACGATAGTGCCAGACAACCGTCCGCGTTGCGACTCGTCGTTCTGTGCCAGGTTAACGGGGTTACTCGATCAGTCCTGAAGCGGCCGCGTCTCTCGAAAAGAGACACGCGGAGGTTGAGGATATCCGCCTTTAGTCGCGTATCCCGCCGTCGAAGGGCGCGATGAAAGTCCCAGCGGGGAAGGAGACGCGTCCGTTCCGGAACGAGCGATCGTCGGTGCAACCGATTCCATCGGGAGAAACGGAGTCATCGCCGATGACGCGCACGAAATCCGAGAGAGAACGCAAGCGTAATGGGAAATTAGTTTGCACATCGAGTACTTGTAAATTACCGAGCAACAGTGGATCGCAACCCGACCGACTATCGTACCGCGTTAGTACAAAGATCCTGTGACATAGCGGAGAGAGAGAGAGAGAGAGAGAGAGAGAGTCGGGACGATAGAGGCGACACAGTGACGAGCGACGGACACTGTCTCCCACGTAAGCGGAGAAAACGAGGGACAATTCTTTCCCGTTTTTTATCCATCTGTATATAATATCACTTAACTAGGGCTCTATTAATATATTTACGACCGCTCCCCTTCGCGCGGGGGCTCCCATTACTACCGAGAAAATATAACATTCTTATAAATACAACCTGGTGCATTCCAAGGACGTTCTCATTTTATTTCGCAGCCGAGAGGCAGACGGCGCCGGAGTGCGAGTTTAAATCCCCCCTCCCTTCCGACACCACCCCCGGCGCGGTTCTCGCACGCGTTCCACGCGCGCGGGACGTCGCGCACGCTTCCTCGTCGTCATCGCTCCCAGTTCCTGCGGCTCCCTCTTCTTCCTCACCCCGGCAACCCGCCTATCTTCCTGTCACGTAGCGAGCCGAGATCGAGGTAAAGCTCCCAGCTCTCACATAAGTTCACCGATCCGATCGAGGATCCCATTCAACGAGCGAGCGTGTTGTGAGGGTGAAGAGGACGGATCGCCGGCGAGGGTGGCGAGAGAGTGGAACAGCAGCGGCTCGCGCGAAGCCTAATACGAGAAGGGTAGGAACGCGATTTCCCTAATGCCCGCCAGACTGCGGTGCCGAATGTTATTATGCGCGGTGAAGACTTTATAATGGGACGCAGAAACTCCTTAAAACTCTCGCCCGCTTACGGATACGCGCCTCCGAAAATGTGCCGCGTGTGCGGCGACGCGCGCTCCCGAGAGCCGTAACTGGAAACTTATGCCGCCACGATTGCGTTACGAGGTCGTTTCCGGCTCTATGGGTTGTTTCATTTTTAGGATTGCGCCCCCGAGTGGCGCGGTGCGATCGGCCGCGTTATAACGCCGTTGAAACTGTCCCGCTGGAAAAACTGCCCCGCGCGCGCGCGCGCGCGCTCGCCGTAATAAATCGCAGCTCCACTGTAATTAACCGCTCGGTCAAAGCTTACTGTAGCGACGGGGTCGTTAACGAAGTCACTTTGTTCGATGGAACGCGCGATGATTTCGCGATTAAAAAGAGAGGGGCAGAGGGGAGAGAAAGAGAGAACGTAATTACAGTCACGTTCGTCGCGTAACATTCTTTATTTCTCTTTTTTTTTGCGATTAAACCGCGACAGCGTTAAATCACGATTAACTTCGATTAATTTTTTTACAAGAACGGCACGGAAGTCCTTTCAATTTGTACTCCGCGCTATTCACCGGCGATGATATTATCAAAAATAATACCCGCCTTTAATGCCTTCGGGGCTCGGAAGGGGTTAACAATTTCGGCTCGCTTCCGGTGCGTGCTCGGGCGAATTAATCCCACGTCGCGCGAGTGGCCGCGACTCGTCATCTCGACCCTCCCACCACTACCACCGCTGCCACAGCCACTACTACCACCTTCACCACCGCACCACCACCACCACCATCAACGTCCACGTCCAGAGTCGCATTAATCACGTCGAAGGCAGGCGGGGGCGAGGGTGGCGCGAGACCTAGGAATGAAGGGAGAACGGAACCCCTTAAAATAATCTGGCCCGAAATGAAATCAGCCAAGGCAATTTCCAACCCCCCCCCCCCCGTCGTATCCGACGGCGATGTTAACAGCGGTGGCGGTTTTATCCTTCCAGCCGACGGGCCCACGGCCATCCCTCCTCTCCTCGACCACCCCCGATTCCGTCGCAGTGCAACCGACAAATGACGACGCGGCAACCCCCTCGCGGCGGCTCACGGAATTAAAGATCACGAGATAAGGGTGTCATCCTTCGCTATGCATTATGTGTTCGGCAAAAAGCTCGCCCCCGGGCCATCCTGCCGTTCCTCCGCCTCCCTCCGCCTCTCCCCATCTCTCCCTTTCACTGCCTGTCTTCTTCTGGCGCGCGCGCTTATTTCGGGGGGTGACGAGAGAGAAAGAGGGAGGCGGTGAAGAAAGGAAGAGGAGAGAAAGAGAGAGGGTGGAAGGTTCCAATTAATCTACTTCGTCCATTTTTTGCCCTTTCAAGGCATCTCCACTGGCGTTCCTCTCGTATCGTATCGACATTCTCGTACTAGAAACGCCGCCCGTCCTCTCTCGAGCACGATGTAGATATAATGAAGAGGTACCTCGAGTGTCTCTCGCGAGTTTGTGCAGAGGTTTTTCTTAGAGACGTACGCGACGCGTTGCACGAGGGTGCGTAGCTTATGATCCTCACATCCTCCTCCGAATCCAGACGAACGAGATGGCCGCGACCGGTAGCCATATTTCAAGTTTTATCGCTTGAAAACATTAAGGGGGCTCACGTCGAGCTGAGCTAACTTACGACGCGAATTCGTCGGTTCGAAATCCAAAAGTGAGCATTGTCGCGGTTACGCGCGACTCCCGTGAAGAAAAATGTTCCGGAAGACAATCGCTGAGTGCATGAAGATATCACGGCTCAAGGCTGCCAAGTAAGTACGCTTTGAATTAAGATACATTTAAGTTCCCTTAGAAACGGGTGAATTTTTCTACGAAATGGAGAAAGAAGAGGAAAACAAGGTACCTCTACAATCTCTGGCCATGTTATTAGACGCACTTCAATTTTTTTAATAGAGCACAGGTTAGGAAGAGAAGAAAAGCTACTAATTTTATTTTTACTTATGATTATAAAATTAATTATGGTGTCAATCAACGCTTTTATCTCCGCAACTTTCTGAGTTGTCAAATCACTTATTTTATCCATAATTTTTGTAAACAATATTAATAATATTTTTCATACAAAAATTTATTTTTCTGTTAGTTAAGTAAGAAATTTGAAGTCACAAGTAAACAAATATAAAACTAAATTTCAATTGATACACACTCAAAACACTTCTGTTCTCGTTATTATCAACAATGCAACTAGCGCCTCATACTTGTTCAAAGTCGTAACAGCCAAATGAAATGACGTCATAAAAAATACTTTTTATAGAATAACGGTTCCTTGACATGATTCGACCGATAGATGAGCCGTATTACAAAGCTGAAAGCTCGGAAGTCAATGAAATGTAAAAAATTGAGGTGCATCTAGTAATGTGGCCAGAGACTTTACGTACGGCACGATCTGAGCGAAATCGCTAAAATCGTGAAATTTGCGTGCTGACATAGAAGAGAGGGATTAACTGTCTATATAACACAACTGAAATTTACCTAAATATGTGAGCTAAAAACTAGGTATAGGGGCAAGAAAAATTAACTAAATTTCAGCTGCATTATACGGACAGCTATTTTTTACCCGTGAGAGAGCTAGTTTTTAGCCACGGGAGCGAATTATTTTTTCCCACGAAAGAATACGATTTGTCGAAACCGGTTAGGTCAGATTGTTGCCGGTCTCACCCGGCTCGAAACTCTGAAGCGAGCGGTGAAGAGAACAGCGGGAGGACGAAGATCGCGACGGCGACAGTGTGGAAGGGATCGTTCAATGTCGCCGGCGAAAATCGAAGTGGCCGGCGCTCCCCGACCGGGAACCGCGTCCCCGAAACATCCTGAAACAATCACACGCTCTCCGGCTCCGTTAGTACCTCCCGAGTGTACACACGGAGCCTTACACACGGCCTTCGGTTCGAGCGCGGGAGCGAGGCGCCGTAAGGCCGTGCGTTATGTATAGGGTGTACCGAAGGAAATAACCGTCATCTGTATTCGCGATAACATCGTAATTGAATGCGGTTGACGGGGATTTGCAGTGTACGACGGCCGACCACCAGCGGCCCCACAAGCGATTCCCTCCCACACCGCGCCCGCTCTCTCGCACTCTTCTTCCTCCTCCGTCGTGCTCTTCGTTCGCCC